GCTGGCAGTTTACAGCACACTGCACACACGCATGCAAACACTTGCACAGACACAACTGCACTGTATGTGCAGAGTAAATTGCCCTCCAGCCAAGTCTTCTCCTTCTAACCTCCTTTCTGTGCATCCTATAGTTCAATCTGTAATTACTGGATGATAAGCTTTCCTCGGGGTTTATGTTGCACTCTGTAGGATCATTGGAAATATCTACAGAGGCCTATTAGTGGTTGATTAGGCACTGTGCTGGACCGGAAGAGCGTGGGCTTATTTGAGAGAGAGGGAGAGTCCTCGGCAGGCCCTAATTAGCCTGAAGAATTGAGCTAGCTCCTAGTTTCCTGGTCAGGTGGAAGACGCCTGGCCTCTGCATCAATTAGTGCTGCTCTCGGAGTTGGTTTTTTATTCCCCTGCCTCGTGTCACAGAGGGGTGATGGAGGAGAACTGCTGTGTTTGATGTCGGCAGAAAGAGAAAAAACGAAGAGCGTGTGCAGTCGTTCCCGCAGCCTCGTGTACATTAATGCAATGATGCACTGTAGATATGTAGCTACATTGAATTTAATCTGTATCTCATGATGTAATATCATGCACGAGCCACGGCTTAAATTTAGCTCGGTTTGACATCTGTCACACACGAGTACACGACACAGTAGAGGAAATGTATTTTCCAAAATAAAACCTTTCATCAACCACAAAGAAAGTGACACTGCTGCACCAAATTGAGTAAATAAAAATGTCCCAGGCTTCTCCATGCTCAAAGCTAATCCACATTCACTGTCAATGTGGAGTTCAGAGGTCACACAGTAGGGTCAGGGTCAATGGTATGGCTCCCAGAATAGCCCCCAAGTTATAACGAAAAAAAGGGAGCCAATAATTGGAATCTAGTAGCCATCACTCAAACAGCACCACCAATAAACTACAATGACTATAAGATGGTCTGCTTCTAAATTCTTAGTGTCATCTGGGGTCAAACTAATTCATTCTATCAAATACAGCAAAATGAATATGAATGAAAGTAGAGTGATTCACTTCCCCTCTATTTACAAAAACATTACAAAATTAGATGGCACAGAAAGATTTAGAAAACATATTAAAATGTATATTATAAAGTCTATACCCATGGTAAAAGAGGAGGCATTTAGATTTCACTGATTCTATAATTAAAAAGGCCAAAAGTATGTGGACACCCAGCCACCCTCTCTCCTCACCTCCTGTCATCTCTCTACTGCCACTTCCCATTTCCCCATCCAACATTTTAGTTACAGGCCTGTCCTCAAACTTTTGGCACAAAGTTGGAAGCACACTATTGTGTTGAGCAGTGGCTCACAGGAGGAATCTGAGGGTAAGTGAGATGATTCACAGGATAGGAAAGGCAAAAAAAAAAAAACGTAGCAGAATGTAGTTCAGTTATACAAGATGTGTTTTTCTGTTTTTTCTAATATCTAGTTTTGCACATTTAGCCACGTAGAAATAATTCAAATGGAACAACCTGGGTGGATTTTAAGGGGTCACTAGATTTCCCTTAATTGGAATTATAAAGGGTGTTGTCCAAATTATGAGAAACAGCCCCAGGTGAAGAGTAAACACTGGGACCGGGGTGTCCGTATACTTTTGGCAATGTTTTATTCCCTCCTCTACTTACTTCAGATCAGTGCAGAATTGGGGTTCTGGTTCCTGCTTTGTCACCAAGACAGCATTAATGATTAAAATCTGATTTCATGTTACAAACAGCACTGGTGTAAGAGATTTCATACAAGCCAGAGACAGAGAGAGAGAGAGCGAGAGAGAGACAGAGAGAGTGAGTGTGTGTTGTGTCTATTTCTGAGTCCTGCGGCCTGGTGTAAGTGCTCTGTTGCAGGCAGACCATGCTGGTCTGACAGCGTGACGCACTTCGATAAAAAGGCTCTCGCTCGCGGTCACACACGTCACCATGGCAATTAGCATGTCAGAGTGTGTGTGTGATTGACAGCCGCCACAGCTGGGATGTAAACAACAACGAGCGGTGCTGGTGGGGAAACCTGGGGTGCCGGAGACACCGCAGTACAAACTCTGGGTGTCTCTCTCACATGTGACTGTCATAAAGAATGAATGATGTAGATTGCATTTACTTACCTCCACACCCACAGGTGATGTGGGTGACACCATCATGTTACAGTTAAATTATCAGTTTTAAAGGGCAACCATGTCAGACCTTATCAGAAGCAACCGTTAGAGACTGTGTGCAGTCAAACGCATTATTCCCAATCATATAGACCTAATTAATTATCAGTTAATTCGATGTGATTTCTGCTCTCTGCCAGCACAGTTGACGCCTTCAGCTCATTATGGAAAGAACAATATGGCCGCCCGAGTAGCTATCAACAGAACATCATCAAACATAATTAATAGCATATGTCAGGCATATAGAAGTAGGTCACTGCCTGTGTGTGCTTTATTCAAACTAGTAGGTTGTCTTGCAATCAGAACAGATGTAGCTGTATGTTGTGTATATTTGACTGAAATCTACTGTAAAGTATCATATTAGACCTATATAGTATTTTATAATGATGCTGGTTAAGTTTCAGAGACCAAATGGTTAATAGATTAATAAACAAAATAATTAGTAAAAATTAATCAATAATGAAAGTAATCCTTGTTTGCAGCCTTATAAAACAAGTTGGATGCATTTTCTTTAAGACCTACATTGTTTACATCCGTGTTTGGGAGCATGCAGCTTCTTTCCTCCTTGCATCTTGTTAAACTGTGGAATAATATGACGCTATTGGGAGGAATGTGAATCACATTGCTCACATACTTGCACTTATAGCAGTCAAAGATTCCCCAGGGTATCTTTAAATTGGCTCCTTTATAAGATTAAAAAAAAAGTATTTTCATTTTTTTTTTTTAATTAATATTTTTGGGAGAACTTTCTGTGAAAAGAAACTAACTCTAAACAGAAATATTCATGCAGCCCCACTACTACACGTCCCCTCACATCCTCAGAGACAGGTCTGGTTCAGAAGCTTCATTTTATGGCCCATTGATATGAGTCTGGCTCCAGGCTGGACCGCTGCCGCTGAGATCACATGTGACTGATGGCAGGTAGCTGGGAGGCAGGGCTGCGCCGTCTTGGCTGCTTCCCCGTTCAACATAGTCCACGTCCGAGTCGTCGCATCAATCACCGCAGCAGGCAGGAGTGCAGGATGCACTGCCAGGGCTATTCCTGGCTCTCCCTGTCACACACATGAAAAATACACACACAGACACGCACACACACACACACACACACACACACACACACACCTGTCTTTGGCTGTTTGTCCTGGTGTCTCTGTGCGGTGGGCATATTAACAGTGGCAGGCAGTAGCTGCAGCATGCTCCACCTGTCCTGAGGAGACAGCTATTGCGAAATCAAACATGAAATCAGTTACCTGACTCACGTTGCAACACAGTGCTCATTTAAAGCTTTTTTTATTTTTTTATATGAAGGAATGCACATGTCAGTAGTTTAAATCAAACTGAGTGGACCATCTATTCTGCACATTCTTCCTATTTGCACAAATAACATGTAGCCCACACTTTGACACCCACAGGATGTGTTGAATTACAGCTGCCTGTTGTAAACTGTTTCCTAAGCGGTCAGTGAGAACGACATTCAAGGTTATTGTTCTTTTACATTACACAAAGTATTTTGCCCCATTGTCGATATGAGTGATATAATCTGATGGTGGACATATTCAAAACATCTTTATATATGATATATTTTAAATACATACAATGAAAAAACTCTTGTCTTTTAGGTGGTGTAGGGATGACACACTGATAAAGTCGAGATGGGAAAGTGCACAGGTTTTACGATCTTAAGATCAAAAGGATCCTTTTCAAGGCAGTCAAGGAGGAGGCGTCTCCGACAGATTACTGTAGTGCCACTTTAAATGCTTCGTTCTCCTCGGTGGAATTTGTTTGAGGAACTTGTTCGCTGAATAGTAACCTGGTAATTACCTTGTGCTTTTGAGGCCCGGCCGACCTCTCCAAGGCTTTGACTGAAGGGGGGGGGGGCTACACTCTCTCAGACTGAAAAACACATTCAGACCTCACCAAGGACCTTGAGAGACAGTCAGAAATAGCTGCCTCTTAAGATGTGCAGAGTCCAGTCCGCTGTGAAGAGCATCACAGTGACTGGTGCTTCATTTAGACACCGCCACTGGCCTCGCCTCGAGATCTCGCAGTCAGGTCACAAACACTTCATAGCGTGTCAAGTGTCAGCTGAAGTACCGTTGCTATTCTGGGCCCTTCGTTCGTTCCTTGGGATTCATAAGTCATTATCATCTCCGCTTAGAAAAACTTGCTCACGTTGTGTGGGGGGGGGGGAGAAAAAAAAAAGAAAAGAAGAAGACTGTTATATAGTTTGAGAAACAGAGAACGAGTGAGAAAAAATAAATTGAAGGTTTGTGTCAATGACCTGAATGTGTTCCTACAGAAGAGAATATGGAATCTCATTTCCCATAAGAAATCGAATTAATGGTTCCGCTTTAATCATGCAAAGAAGTCTGTTCTTAATTTAGACATTAATTATATCTTGTAATTTGGCAAGCAGCACGCAAAGTCTGCCCATGGCTGCCCCCCGACACCCCTTGTGTTTTTCCTGAGCAGCCCTCAGTCTGTTTCCTATCAGACTTTCAATCGAATGGAAGAGGCTTCGCTAATTTAATATTGAACGGCGAGAAGGCGCGAGGAATCTCACAACTTAAATAATTATTGAACCCTTGTCCCTCTCACAAAACATTTGATCTCACACCCTGCTCACTGAATTTCAGCTACAGCCTGTACTTTTGGTTTAGTGTTGGCATATTTTAATTGCTTTTTTTAAAAAATATTTATGGTTTCTTATCAGTCAGTTTGAAATCCTTTCAGTGTTAATGTTGGATTTAAGTGGCTTATTTATTATCAAGGAAATACGAGTATAAATTGCATTTTCTCGTCTTTGTGTCGTTGATGTATATGTTTGTTTGTTTTCTTCCTCCTCACAGTGTTTGCCGATCCACGGTCATGGATTCGTCTTAGACAAGTACAAGTGCCACTGCAAGAAAGGATTCTACCACCCCAACAGAGTGGCTGTCAACGGCTTTACACGTGAGTCAACGACAAATAAATGACGTTTTATTGATCACAGGTAAACAATAGTATTTTATCACTGTGTCGTTATAAAGTGCTAACCATTTTTTATATATATAATCAATTTCAGGCTCCATCAATGTGCCTGAAAGCAGATTATGTCAAGATCATGTGACACCAGGAAAACTGAACTGGCTTTGACAAAACAGTTTACACTTAAAGGGTCCACTCTGTTGATGAAGTCCATGCGGTGTGGTTGAAAGCCCTGGAAACACCTAGTAAATGAGCCTTCGGTTATTATTTTGTCAAACTGTTCTTGTTTTTATTGGCAAATACCTTAAACCCCGACAGCTGCATTATTTCCCCAGGCATCCACAAACCAACCAGTACTGTAGAGTCCTGAATAGGCACTTTACAGAAAATCTTGATAATTGATCAATAATTTAAAATAATTATTTAAGCCGAATTGCCAAAATTCACAATCAATTGATTATTAGATTTTGACACAGGGTCTACAAGATGGAAGATGGAGGACCTATAATAGTTGATAATGTGCGTCAGTGGTGCAAATTTATAACTAATTTGAGATAAATTAATTTGAGCTCGTTTCACAGAATGCTATGAGATCACCTTTCTGACTCAGCTTCAAAGTTGACCATCAGCTGTTGGCAGCAGAGCCATATCTTCACCTCCTGTATTACATTATATAACATCCCAATTTTATAACTGTGCTAATGAAAGGGACGCGTGTTACTGCCCTGTCTGTAAATTGAAGTAGCCTCGGTACCTGGGGAGGCTAATCAGGTTCAAGATGGGAAATATCTTTTTAATGGTAGTTACTTCTCCCAGTTTATTCTGTCTGCTGTGAGTTAATTAAAAAAGGCTTTTGCAGACACAGAACCCCAGTGGTTTTCACCTGGCCTCCATCACTCTCTCCGCCGTGCTTTCATTTAAATCCACTTTCCCTCCCGTCTCATCCCACTCACACCTCATACACCGTGTTCCTCTGTGTCTATCTCAGTTTTACCCTCTTCTCGCCCCTTTTTCCCCCCTCACTTCCTCATTTTTACATCGTTTTTTATTTTTTTTATTTTTACTGCGCCCATTTTTTATTTTATTTTTTTTAACCCTAAAATATTCCCCTTCATGCGCAGAGAAGCAAAAAGGCTCCACAATTTGTTCCTCAGCTTGTGCTGTTTGCTGAGCTGCGTGTTCGTGTGTGCAAGTTTGCATGAAAGCTCATTGTGTGTGTGTGTGTGTGTGTGTGTGTGTGTGTGTGTGTGTGTGTGTGTGTGTGTGTGTGTGTGTGTGTGTGTGTGTGTGTGTGTGTGTGTGTATTCGAGAGCACAATAATAGAGAAGAGAGGCAAGCCTGTTAGTGAGGCGTACTGCTGCAGTCTGGCCCACCATGGGGCCAATAACAAGCCTGTTAATCCACAAGGGGACATCCTTGACACTCCTTTGCAGAGAAAACCAGTGCAACTCACTTTCCTTTTGTCTCCCAGTGATCTTCCACTGTGGATCTTGCATATAAATACGAGAGAGAGAAGTTGCTGCATCTAAGCTTCCTCTGACTGTCACTCAGATGTTGGTGCCACAAACCAGTGAGAATGAGCTAAAGGATATGACTCACAGCTACGGAGATAAGTAGTCCTTTTGAAGGGATCAATGATGTGCAGAGTCATAGCTTTGAAAAATAGGCCAGTTTCTTTTTAAAGGCAAAAATCCCTGCAAATCTCTGAGACAATGGCTGTTTCCAATAAAGCCTCTATAAAAGCTCCATATATACGTCCACCATTTGTTATCTAGCCAACCATATGGGCATCTCTCAGGGGATTTCTAAACAAACCAATAACAAGTCCACTAGCTTCTTGCTGTCCCCTGAGTTTGGCTGGTTATTTGTTATTTTTACCTTAGTTTACCGTAAGTCAGTGTGACCAAACTCTTCCACTTGTCACTCCTTTAGGAGCAGTCGGTGGTTTAGTGGCCTTCGATTTTTATTTTTTTATTTTTTTAAGGATTTCAGCCAATCAGCTCTGTATATAGACTCCCGCATCGTCCCCGTCCTTGTCAGGATAAAATAACTGAGTGCAGACATGCCTCTCTGCTTTTTTTTCCCACAATCATCAGCCTTGTATGATATGCCGGTGACTGAACGAGGTGTAGCGGTGTTGACTTTTCATGTTCACACATATGGATCCATCTCCCGTGTGTTGACACAATGTCGATGAATCCCTGTAAGGTCAGGGAGGGATGAGCGTATATATATACTCGGGAAGCTTCAGCCTGTCATAGAAGAACTTGATCTCCTTTATCTTTTAATACAGGACTCAACAGAGCCGGAGGAAAATTCAGAAACATGGAAACTTACAATCTGTTTCTATTCTCTGTAAAAAATAAATAAATAAATAAAACTTGATGAACAAAGACTGAATTAACATTGTGGAAAAAATAGAAACTGCATGACAACATGTGATACGATATGTGTCTGGAACTGCAGATTTAAAGGTCAGAAAAGAAACAGAAAAGTTTTCTATAAGGAAAAGGTCTTGAGATGATTCACGGCTCAAAGGTGACAGTAAGTAGGATTTATTTGCCCCAGAGTCGTGTCGTTCCAAAGCCAGGACTGAAATACCACTTCAATGACACCATCAATCACATTTCAAATTCATATGATTTAATTTTATAATTGATGTTAATAGAATAAAAGTAGAAGCTGGGCATTTTAACTGTACATCCATTACTTTTAGATAACTTTTTTTCCAACCTTTTCTCAACCTTTTTACAACCTTAAAATAAATCTGCAGATGATTGTTCGCCTTGAATGTTTGGAATTAAACACCTTATTTACTCCACATTCTTCACTTTTAACAGGGATTGGGAAAAAGGGAAAAGCTGCAGAAAGCGGTCCCAACGCGGACGAGGGGTCCTCCAGCGACTGCCTGCCGTGCCAGCAGGGCTGCGCCTACTGTAAGGACGACACCCCCTGTGTTGCACGAGAGGACGGCGCTCTTCGCATGGCGGTGCTCTCCTTCCAGAGCCTGTGCATGCTGATTGTCTTCATTAGCATGGTGCTCATCTACCATTTTCGCCGGAATAAGGTAAGCGGTATGACGCGCTCATATCAGAGATTAACATATATATAGTCAGTAATAGTCAGGACTCGACTTGTTACTGAAGCACTAAGGCTCTGGTTTTTCTTTTGTATTACTGCATTAGCCATGTTCAGCTTTTAGGGGATTTGTTTTGTCACCATAAAGAGCAAAAGTTTTAGAAACTCAGCAGTGCGGACGAGAGACCTACACACATCCAATTCACCGTTACAACATCGTGTCATTGTGTGTTTGATGTTTTCTGGGCCATATGGTCATCAAAGCCTTTTGGATGAATAAATGAGCGAATCCATATGTGGGTGGTCACAATAAAGCTTTGAAATAATTTCAAACGGCTCAGACACCACAGATCAACTCAACGTCAGCACCTTGACAACGACTGTGAAAAGCACTTAACTCTGATTCATACATCAGGCCACTGACCAATTCAACTTTTACGGTTTAGACAAAGACACACAAGTTTCTCAAGATAACACATTCATATCATATTATTTATCTAATCTATCTTTATTGTGAAATGTGTCAGTGAGAAAGGTTGATTTGATTTGTAGTTTCATACTTGGCTGATGATGTCATTCATTGATCGTCCCGCTGCTCTATCACCCACACACACACACACACACACACACACACACACACACACACACACACCTGAAGACGCTGCCATTATATCAGTCCGAGTCAAACAAAGTCTCGCTCCCATTAATAAAGCAGATGAGCGTTTTAGATACTCCAGGGTTTTGTTATAATTTAGAGACCATTCATGTAATCCCCATTAATCTCGTCAAACTAAATTTAAGAGCTTAGTTTCAGAGCTCTTCACAGACTTTCTGATAAATAAAAACACTTCATTTTCTTAAACAAATTCATTTTGGTTGCAGATTTAATTTATTCTTTTCATATTTTAAACAAGATTAACATGAGGCTAGTGGTTTGTGTTGCCTTTTGTGTGTATTTTTAAACGGCTGGCACAGCTGTCCTCTGCCCTTTTGAAAGCCCCCTCAAGCATCTTGTCAATTAGAGGAGAATTCGTTGTTAAATATCTTCCACAAGAGGTGCACAGATAGCGCCTGAGATGGTGAACCCGGCTATAAAAAGTCCTCGAGGCAGGAGCTTTCATTGTGCTTTGTTCTCTTTCAACCAGCGAAGAAGAAAGCTACATTCCCTCCTTTTAAATCCTCCAGGATTATTACAATATCCTGCTGTTTTAGACTTGTTTAAACCTCCTGCAGTATGACGGGCACTTTAAGATACATATATAGATTTTGGAGATTAAAATGCTGCAAACCAACACCATGAATTATCTTCTATACTTTAAAAAAATCGGACTTTCTGCATAAGATCTTACATACATACATGAACATATAAATCAAAGCTGCTCTAATCAATGTTTTTATATAAACAATGGATCAAATGCTTAACTGTGATGTAAACTGTGATGTTTCTCCACAGGGAATTATCACCTGACTTTGAAGTTCTCCTCAGCTTTACAATGTGTTTTAGTGTCTTTCAGCTAATGTGTTTTGGTTTTAGGATCCAGTGTTGCTCCGTATTTGCTGGATGTGTAAATAAGCAACTGTTTGCTAACACGTTTGCATAATAACAAGTGTCCAAACAAATCAATTAAAGCATGTTTAAGATATGATGGATAAATTAGAGGTGTAATGTTTGTTGTTTATTTCTTTTTTGTCAGAGTATCAGAGCATCAGGTCTAGTCCTGCTGGAGGCCATCCTGTGTGGAGCTCTGCTTCTCTACTTTCCGGTATGTCACTTTCGTGTGTGTGTGTGTGTGTGTGTGTGTGTGTGCGTGCGTGCGTGCGTGCGTGCTAGCGTGCTTACGCTCGCGCAGACTCTCATCCTTTCATGTGCTCATTTCTTGACGTATTCGCTGATAATGTTCATGCCGCGCTCCTTTTGAGCATCGAAAACAAACAAAAAATTCTTCTCCTTGACTGAAGGTTGGCATTCAGTCTGACCTTCAGTTCACACTGTCGCTCATTCATCTAAAACAGAATCAGAGCTCCGAACAAAGTTTCATATCTGCAGCAGCGGCACAGAGCAGGATTGTTTGCCTTGTCAGATAGTGCAAACCTCGGTTCATAAATCAAACCGTTTGGGGGGTTTTTTGGGGGGGTTTTTTTGACAGCAGTATGGAGCTGTGATAAGCAGGGTTTTCACAGTCAAGGTGTACGTGTGATGAAACAGGACTGGCAGAGACAAACATCCAAGGGCTTGTTGGTGACCCCCTGCTAACTGTACACAGAGCTGGCCAATGAACTCAGCAGCCTGTCAACACGACCATCTGTTGACCAGCCACTCATGCTGCTTCATACGGACCGCGCTCATTCAGACCGGCGCGGAAAATAAACTCCATTAAAATTTAAATCCTTAACCTTTTGAACATTTGTCTATCCTCGACACAAACTCCATCAGACCTGCTGGTACATAATTGATTAATGACTTATCAAGCAAAAAAATCAATTGACCAGGAAAGTAAATGATCCTTCAATGAAAATGGAACCATCATGTTACACATATATTAGTACACATGCACTTTTCATACTAGCAGCCTTTTAAGGTTTTACATCGTGATAGTTTCACTTTATTCGACACTGAGATTCTTGCTCCATTTAATGCACCAAAAAATGGATGATTATAGAGTGTAATAGATCAGTTCAATTCATTATTATGTAATTCTCTACTTTAATCAGTGAAAATCAATCAGTGTAATTTTGCACCAGTAAAAAAAACAAAAACAAACAGAAACCTTGACATTGTTTACCATCTTCTGCAGCAGCTAATTATTCCTGCAGCTGACCAGACTCTGTCCAACACCCACATGCCATTGATTTACATGAATCCACCATTACGTCTTCCTCCTCGGCGCTCGGGGGGCATCGGCTAATTGCAATTTAGCTGCAATCATGTGGAGCTATATGCTTAGCAAAGCAATGCAGGCTACGTGTAATTAAAGCCAACTGATTTAGAGCCGGCTAATCAATGCCATTTGCTGCGACAAGGTCCTGGAAAGTAATAATGTTTGAAATCTTCAGAGTGAAGGTAAGCTGGGGAGTCAGGTTATCGGTTAGTGAATGAATGAATAGGAGATGATATTCCTGTATCTTGCTGTTGTGGCGATGGCAGCGGATGCTAAAAATAGAGGTTGTACAAAGGGAACCTAACTTTGTAGGTTACTCTCTAAACCCTGCCTTGTTTAGAGATTACACTTTCACTGCTGAGTGTTGGATTACTCTGTACCGCCGTGCAGAAACGGGTCGCCGTGAAACACGACTGATCTCGTTTTGATAAAACATCTCGGCCTGATCATGTGAAAACAGCATCTCCCTGCATGCCTCTGCGCGGCGCGCTAGATTGATCTCCACCCTGATGCATTTCCATGTCTCCCCTGCGAATGAGCCGCGGCTGCGAGGGTGAGACGCATCACTCCCAATCTAAATATAGATTCAGAAATATTCCACCGCCGCCGCTGCTTCTATTTTAAATAATTCCACTGTTATTAAGCAGCAGGAGATACATCTCATCCTGCTCCCATGGCATTCTGCTTTGTGGAGTAATGCAATTTTTCCCCTCCTTTTCTCTCCCGAGTGTGTCACATGCAATAACTTCAGCCACCCCCCCACCCCCCCTCCCCGCTTCTCTCCTCACCCTCCTTGCTTTGAAATGAAGGGGGAGGACGGAGGTGCAGGGAGTGCAGAAGGAGAGAGAGGCAAAATTATGGCAGTGCCAAAGCCGGCTATTTCCGTCTGGCTGTGGAGATGAGAGAGGGAGAGCGGACACACATTTGTGATTCACAATGTGATCCCGGGATTAGCTCGCCAGCCCTGCGTTTGTCTCTTTGCAGCTTCTTATTGACGCTGCTGGGGGGACCTAGAGGCGCTATACGTGGGCTGACGCTCATAATCAAGCCGGAAAAACATCCCCCTTAGTCGCGCGGGCGGTCGGACTTGGCCTCATGTCAGGCACCCGTGGTACATATCGTGGGATCGGCCCTCCTGCGGCGTCATGGTCCGAGGCTCGGAGCTCAGATTGGAGCTAAGTGACAGAGTTTGGATTGCTATTGCTACCTGTTTTTTGTTTTTCAGATGTCACCAGCCCCCTTACGGTCGGGCGACGGTGATGAATCACGAGGCGTTGCATTGTGGTGCCACCTGGTATCAACTTATCAAAAGACACTCTGATTGGTGGAAAATGCCAAAAAACTAAACAAAAAGGGGGTTTAATTAAACATGATTCTACTCATTTTGTTTAAACTGCAGCTCATGTGTCACAGTAGCTGGGAGAAGAGACAAAATCGTCCTCTTTTCTCACAGTTACAGTCCAATTACTCGTGTTTGCTTTACCCGTATCCGACAGACCTTTACTTTGAGTACGTATTCAAGAAAAAGGTTAATGGCAGGAAACAGAATAAGGCTGTGGAAATGTATTTATTTTAGTTTTTGTATGTGACGTTCAGTGTTACAGAACATTATAAACCAATAATTCAGGTTTCTCCGGCAGAACTCCAGATCAAGTTTGTCATTTATTTGATGTGTAGTCAAGGTGCTGCAGTGAGCCTGTAACAACCAGGCTATTCAAATGCATGTAAACACACCGTACGAGACTTATCTTCCTCCTCTCTCCTTCCCAACCCATCTGTGTGTGCACCAGTGCAGTCTGCCCCAGAGACGCCACTAAGTCGTCGTTCTCTCCCTTCATGCTCTCCCCCTGTGAGACATGTCACGCCTCCCGCTCTGCTGCTTGTGCATTCATAAAAGTTAACACATACGCGAAAGTGGTAATCGCCAAGTTTCTATTTTTAATTCCGCCCGCACCTTTTGTGCTGTAAGCGTCTTTGCTGCAGTGTTTTCCTCTGTTAATCCTTCGAGCGTCCTGCTCAATAAAAACCTCTTTTTTTCGAACCAGTAGTCTTAGGGGTGCTATCCCGCCCCCCTGCCCCGTCCCTCCGTCCGTGTCTTTCCACCTGTCCACTCTCAGCATTGTCTTGGTGCCAAGCTGGGGCCAAGGTGGCACTTCAGCCCAACGCGGGGCGTCGCCATGCATGGCAGGCAGGCAGGCAGGGCTTCACAGCACATCAGGGGGCTAATGAGAAACAGTATGGCCAGGGGATAATGTATCCTGACCTGACAGGCCATGAAACACAGTCTGCCAGCCATTTCTCTCCCTTGCTCTGCTCTGCCTTCCATCCAAGCTGTTCTGACACTTTCAATCTGACTTAAGTGGATCTGGAGGGTTTCTGTGTGCATTTGCAACCCCTTCTCTCTCTCCCCCCGCCTCCCCCCATCTGCTTCCTTTCCTCCCTCTGCAAAGTGCTGAAGAGTCTCCCAAAACATACGGTCACCGAGTTGAAGTTGAGGATGCACTGCTGCAGCTGGAGTGTTCCTTCTTGTCTACACGAGCCGGGAGATGGAAAAAGCAGAAGAGATCGGAAGGAGAGAGAGAGAGATAGCATCGACACATGTAGGCAGGTTATTCCCTCTCTGATACGTCCGTTTGTGTATCCCTCAAGATCTAGTTGGTGATGAGGAGGGGGGGGGATTGTGGGAGGCGAGCTCTGGTCTTCGCTGTGCAGAGGGCCAAGCTGGATGTAATTTACACCCGGCTCACCTCGGGGAGCGGCAGGAGGAGAAGAAACCATTACCTCCCTCCAGAAAGCTGCCCTTCCCGTGTGGCAGTGAGTGTCGGCTTTCATATAAAAATGGATCCATTGCTATTACAACACCCCACCTCTCCTCTGCTCCCACCACTCACCAGCGCTCCCTCCCACTCTCTCATACTGAAGGTGTTTTGTAGATTTTTAAAAAAGAAGCAGAAGAAGAAGAAGAAGAAGAGCAGGAGGATGATGACCAGAAAAAGCGGGGCATGGGCGGACCGGATGGCTGTCACTATTTCATGTCAAAACATTAAAAGTAGCACGGGAGCTTTGTTGTGACAGAATGATTCCCGAGGCTGCGCCATCCCATTCTCCACTCAGATGGAGACAGACACACTAAATGGCTGAAAGTCATTTTTCTCCCCTTTTTAGCTGGAAGCTGTTTCCAAAGAAACTGTGATAACAAAAGGCTGAAATTCAGCTCCGTCTGTTCTCCTGACTGGTGCCGGCCAACGTCTCCGGCACTCGGGCTTTAGTTGTTTTCAGATCTACAAACTGACGTGTTTATACTGCATCACAGACAGATGACTAATATATGATATTTTATTTTGACATTTTCATTCCAGTAAGTGCTCTATTAGTATGAGGTTGCGCCTCTAGCCGTCACAGCTGCCAACCCTGATAATAATTCAACATTCAAACCTTAATTTTGAAAATCTACCAGAGGCATTAAAACCATTTGGGTCACAGCATCAGTGTCTTAACTTTATTAAGTTCTGACCACATCTGTTTATAGATTAAATGAATGTGAGCAAGTTAAGTGGCGGCTACCTTCAGGTGTGATTCAGCAGGAAAATACATTTTGGGGGCTCAACAGGAAATGGCTTTATGTCACAAAACAGACAGATGAAGGTTTTCAAAATTAGTGCGAAAGTTGCAGGGCTTATGGGAAACATGGTCTAAATCCTTAAAAACATTAGCATTAACAGTACAGCACTGATATGAGATGACAAAATGACAAAGGTCTAACATTTTTTAACAGGAACTCAGAGTGATTTGTCACAACCTGGATCAAATGACCACAACTGTAGGAGCCGAATGTGTATTTCACCTGTGTTGTTTATTATTTGTTTAGGTTACAAACAGGTCTC